CGATGTAGCAGAACAATATGTTCGATTTGAACGCCCGAGAATATCAGGTTTGTAAGTCACTGTAACGCTTTGGATGTGATTATGGTAATTCTAAGAAAGGCACACAGGCTTAAAGGGACGAGCAAAAGGCTAAAAATAGTTGTATCCACGTAACGCGTTATAGAAAATGCTTAAACATATTGCCTACGTTGGTTTTTGTTTTCTTTTGTAGTCATAGGTAATCATCAAGTGGCAGTGAATTGAGGGTGTTGATAAATGTTATTTTAACATATTGCCGCATCATTTCAGTTGGCTTGCGCTCCTGACGTAAATTGTCATAAGAAAGAAACGTGTTTATATTTGAAGCTGTTAATGGAACTAGGACATCTGCATTGCGGAACAGCTAAGTAGAAAATGACTTTAATATTCAGTACTCGATGTAAAAATATATAAAGATGAATTTCAAGAACAGTGTCTTGATATAGTGTTATGCTGACAAGCAATCGCTAAAAGTAGTAAAGGTGGTTTTATCTTTAAATTTAAGACTTGGTTCTTAAAGGGTCTTTCATAGACAAGCATAATATAAATATGCATCGAAACACCAGATTTGGCTAGATAAATTTTTTAGTCGCTTGTTGTTTATGACAGTCTTTAAATTAACGGTGAAGTATTTGGGAGTATATTATGTTTTCTTTTTCTTTTAGTTTAAAAAGATCAACAGTTTGAGTTTATCAAATTTTTTGAAAATATTCACACATATACACGTTCAGCATACTTGACGGCAGTGAAACCGACTTTGATATGTCTTGACCTTATTCTTGCACTAGCCGCATATTGTCCAGTGATCCTTCCTATTATATATCTGAAATATCAGTCGGAAGGTGTCGCTGGAGATTTGCTGTAGTATTAGTCTATGTGTTCTCTAGTAACATCCACTATGTGGAGACTCTGAAATACCCATAAGATATGTTCTCCCAGTTTTGTTTTGTTTTTACTTAGGAGAATTATCACTGTGGGAGAGATTACCTTGTTGTGGTATTTACATAGTCGTTAATTCACCCAGTTTACTCAGATTGGTTTCAACTTAGTTACAAACAAATTATACTTATTTTACACCTTGTCAGTGAGGTTAGAAAATCAGGCTTATTCCCTAATTCATTTTATTTCGTATATCCTGTTGTTGCGGTGCTACTCTTACCGGTATATAATAAGTGTATCCGAGAATGCATAGGCCTACTACAACCTTCTGCAACTTCGAAACTGTTGTGTTTCCTTCTACCAATCATGAATGAAGTGAAGTGCTGATGTGCTATATGCCAGTGATCACCAATTACTTTCTACACTGGGCCACTTCAGATGACCGTAAAGCCAAGGGCCTGGCCTGGGCCTGTTGGGGAATACATGCTTCCCCATATACAGTTTTGCTAGACTCTTGAGCATCATAATGATTAACAGTGTGATATCTGATCATAGTGCGGGCCATGAATTGGGCTTTCGAGGTTTCTAATATGGCCCGTGGACTGCCTATTGGTGGGTACCACTGTATTAGACTGAAACACAAGTTGTGAAAATATCATAGTCAACTCTCCTAGCTGCACGAACCAGGCTTAATACTGACTTCCTTCTACTCGATCAAACCAAAGCCTTTAAAATGCGACGTTCTCGCTTTTACTCTTTACCAGAAAAAGGAAACTAATGTTTAACAAGTTTTCGAAACAAATAAATAAAATTTAATTTTGAAAAACGTTGCCGAAATAAAATTGGTAGTAAATAGGCATAAACCATGAACCTCATGAAGGAGCAGAAACGTGAAATGTACCAAGAAAAACAGAAAAGAAGCTAACAGCTGCTCGACACAGCCTGCATCGATGCATGCTGGGAGTAACAAAGAAAGACAGAAAAAAACAGCGAATGAATCAGACGAATATGCAAGATGTTACTCAAAAGGAATGAAGTAACAGTATGTTAGATCTGTGATTAGAAGATGAGGAGACCGATGAACAAAGAAGGTGTCACTGAATGGACCACAATAAAGGATAATTGAATACGTTAAGGTAAAAATGAAATGGGAAGAAGAAAAACCTTGGCAAGTATTTTGGTTTGAAAATCAAATGAGCCCCTGGAGGGCTTGAGAGACAACCAGGGGAGCTCAGAAACTGTAGTTTCTCTTCACCTCACACGCGATGTTATGTGAAATGGGGAGATGAATTTAACTACTTATATACGTAGGAAATGTTTTAGTTCAATTGCCGAAGACAAAATAAGTTGTAAGACTCATGCTGAGGTGCCAGTGTTGCCCAGTCTCGAGAGAAAAATAAGCAGCATTGCTTTTCAAAACAAACCTAAAGCAAGCAACACTGCCTTTCAAAACTGCTGTTTTATGGCTCACCCTCAAATGGCGATTTGCGCGGCTTGATTGGAATATAGAATGTTCGCGATGTGGGTATATATTTTAATTGAACAGGAGTTGGGATAAGATGATTCTAAAATTATAATAATGTGAAGGCTATTCATTGAGCCAGTCAATTACCGAAACCACTTCTAGAACAATTTTACTGTGTTGAAGTGAACTATCTAAAAAAAAAAGCCCAAATAAGCGATCTCAGAATAAAACAAGTCCAAAAAACCGCAACCCGCAACTCTGAAAAGTAAATTGACAAAAATAAATAAACAAGCCTAATTCTAGTCATTTTATGCGAAGTTGGCATCACTATGAGACGCTCATTCAACATTGTATAGATAAACATTATGATAATGAAACTAATAATAATTCAGTAGATTAATTATGTAGAGTTGCAGAAACATAATGTCCACAAAAAATACGTTAATGCTAGTCCCTCATTATTAACTTTCTGATAGGCCTAATACTTGTACATAAACCTCTAGGGCATATTTCTTGTATCAGCTTTTCTCTTGTCATCTAGGGGTTAACCCTCCCATTGACCTCCAACCTCTTTCCTACGTAATAATTTTGCAACCCCAAATGAATACATGGCATCCTAGATAAACTGATTAATTTCTTAACAAATTTGTTAAAACCTGCGAAGTCTGGTAGTGTCGACAGCCAAACGTACAGGATATATCGTTTGTGTTCGTCATTTTAAGTCGGTAACTTGGCAGCAAAGGCCAGTATATCGCTATTTTATGTATGTATGTGTGAATACAATATACTGAGACATATTTTAATGTCATGAAGGAATATTTTATGCTACAGTTTTCTTTGGTATTGATATTTTTGTGGACTTGTTTTTTGTATTTCACACGTTAAAATTGATGTTACTTGATGTTAAGCGTTACCTTCGTAGCTTATGCAGGTCGGTTTTCGGTGGATCGTTTTATGCTTAGTAAGCATGCTTTCAAATTACTCGCCATTCGGTTAGGTAGAACATGCGCAGAACTATGAAGGTGGGTTTGGTCTTTAATGCGAAGTAATAGGACGTAAAATTTTTCTCTAATGACTTAAAATTAATCAGTGTTGTGGAAAAGTGATGAATCAGCTTCTTTCCTCGCGGAGGAGTACTTCACGAAAGAACTAACAAATCCCGAGCTAGTTCCCCGTTCCTTGCCAAGAAGTATTTATCTTTATCACCACGTTGCTATAAAAGCATCTTATGCAATCTGTATTTGGTATATCTTAATTGTATTTCAGGACATTTGGCTCCGACTTAAACGCACAGATAGACACGCACTCTGTATGATAAAATAGTTCATGTAGTTACAATAGTTTTTTTTAATAATCAGCTATAAATACAAGCTCAGGTAAAAGAAGTTATAGTTTATGGTGAATGTATACGTTAAAATATGTTTGTAGAGAACAAAATTGGATAATTTGAATAATATACTATTTTATAAAGATCCTTTTTTATAACAATTAATAAAAAAAAACATTTTGTAAATGTAAAATCATGTAGGGATGACAGTGCCAGAAAGAATGCAAAGAAGAATATAGGAATGATACAGCTACACATAGATCATCTCTACATGACTTTCAATATTAAAATCTAATATTACACTGTAAAATACACGAGAACAAAATGGTCACGAGATTGGCCAATTCAACCGACCTCGTAGTGAAAGTCTGTAATAATCAAGACATGTTTTGACTCAACTTAGTTTTCTTTGTACCTAAGTCTTAGGATCTTAGTTACACTAAACTGATGCCTATCCTGTCATGACCATGATATTATGATAAACAAACTTCATACCAACAGTCAGGAATATATAACTTCCAACTGCAGTAATATTAAAGTCAAGTATGCATTTTACAGTGTCACATTAAATTTTCATATTGAAAATCATATAAGGATAATCTTTATAAACCTGTATCAACCCTGTATTCTTTTTGGCACTGCCATCCTTAAATCATTTTACAGTTACAAAATATTTTTATTACTTGTTTTGTGACGATTTTCCTCTGACTGAAAGTTAATGTATATTATGATTGTGTGTAGTACAATTTAATATCATGTGTATTGATTTTTTTTTACCTCTTCACTTCATACATAACACTGGGATTGGCTTCCTAAAGACATAGATTGTATATTGTACAAATCATTGAGTATTCTACAGTCGCATAATATTCATGTATTATTTTAGCTGGTAATTCCATGTTCACCCTGTAATTAAGCTTTTTAAAGGAACACCAGATTTATGTAAAAAAAAGCTAACTTCAAGGGGTAATGGTAACGTCGTTTACACTAGAATTATGATTTTTTAAAATTACATTCCTACATATAGAGTCTACCGACTCTGATAAAGTAACATTAGTATTTATAAACAGGTAAGAATACATTGTTTACTAAAATATCGTTTTCTTTTGAAACCACATGGTTCTGATACTCAGTAACTTGGGGTTGAACGGAAAGATCTCATCTCTATTTCTTTTGTTAAGAAGAAGCCTTCCTTTATAAAATCAAGTTTTACAGGGTGTATTATTTTCTTACTGTTATTAAAATATTAGAGAAGTTGTTTCTTGTTTTGCTTTAAACTGTACTGAATAACTATTTCTTCTGTTACTACAGACTTGAAGAGAGAAGTAACCATCTGCCACATGTTGAAGCACCCACACATAGTAGAACTTTTGGAGACGTACAGCAGTGAGGGAATGCTGTACATGGTTTTTGAATAGTACGTATGTACAATTTCTCTAACAAAAACAGTTGCATTGTTGTTTAATCTCTGGTAGAGGAAGCTGCCACTTCTGCGTGCATCTGTATTGTTATGTAGTTGTATGTTATATTGTTATTTTGAGAATGTTTTTTTTTTTTGTGACGAATTGGAGTAAAAGTGTTTGCTTTTAATATTTTTTGTGACAACATGTTATAAATTGGGCGTATTTGTTGATGTGCTGTAAATGTAAAAAAATTAAGTCTGGCAATCTAAAATATTGAAAGTGAGAAGTTGAGACATTTTTAGTATAGGGAATTTGTACATGATGAAAGAGTACATAAATGAGCTTTTGAATAGTTATAGTGTAGTGAACAATTGAATAACCTGAGATATTTAATTTCCTGCAAGCGGGGGGGGGGGCATGTAAGAAAGAGTTTATTGTGAATTTCGTGAGTGAATGAATGACTTTTTCCGCGTTTGGATATTCCCACTGTTTAAACATTGTCCTAGTATAATGAGTTTAGAGGATACACACATTTATTTCCACATAAATTATCTATCCAAAAGAGACTTATTGCATATTGAGTTTTTTTAAAGAAATTACCCAATTTTGATGTCCTGTTTAATGTTTAGAATATTAAAAACTGTTTTTCATAAGTCACTAAATCTGCGTAACAGGAATAGATTTAGTTTTTAAATGTCACACACTTTTTGTTACGAACGTTTATCCCCCCCACCCGTCATTCTTTATTTTATTTTATGTTATGTTTATTGTTATGAATTAAAACAAAAAATGTATTTGTCGAGGTCAAACACTCCACTTTTGGATACTCATAATGACTATGGTATTTGAATGGCTTTTCATCCTTAATTTATGACATGAGGTGGCAACAGAACAGAGGGAGTCACTTGTCATCTAAAATTTATCACAATAACATTCCACTGGTACCATTTTCCTGTGTTCTTCTTCCGAACTACCAATATCTTTTCTTATTCCTATATATTTAAAGTAAAAAAAAATGAACCAGGTTTGCGAGAAAAAAAATGCTATTCGTAACGCAAGTTATAAGAAAATGATATTCCAGCCAGTGGTTGTACGTACAGCAAAATGATATTCCAGCCAGTGGTTGTACGTACAGCATCTGTCGTTCTCTTTTTATGAATTGAGTTCAAAACCTGTTATGGACAGGAGTGTTTTGTTCTTTTGGTCCTTGATTAGTGCTTGTTGTAATTAACATGTTTTGTGCCATCTGTTGAATTGCTGTGATGTTGTATTGTGGTTGTTGTGTATTATTGTTTTTGTTTTGCTACGTTTTGAATTATTGTCTAAAGTTTTGTTGTGATTTTCTTCATAGATAATCTATGTTGTGTATTTAAATGTTGTCTGACATTCCATAGTGGGTGTACTAAGTTTGCTTTTAGTTGAATTACTGTCTAAAACTGTGTACTTATATGTAAGTAGTTTTGTGTTACGCGTTTAAGAAAAATCCGCAAGTTCGAAATACGAGAGCACATGAAAATTTGTTTTGATAATATGAACGTATTCCATCAAGAATAATTTTTAGTCATTTGTTGTATGTTTGGCTCACTCACTCAATACTGGAGAAAAACAGTGAGTTCAGATAATGGAAAGTACAAGTAATCAGTTATCGCTATGGTCAACTTTCTTATCTTATAGCCTAAACATACAAGTTATTTATCTGGAAACATAGACTCGCATGTATTATTTATTGTTTTTATTACCCTGTTAATATATTTTTTTCCTAAGAATTTTTTTTATTTTTTGTACTGGCAATATTATTTCCTTATCTTTTCATATGAACGAAGATTTTGTGAATTGAATTCTCGGTAGGGTAAGGCACGCCCTCTATTATATCTCAGCATCAAAGTGAGTCTTTCACATTTGACTTATTCACTCGGGAAATGTAATATCCAATCCTTCACGTACCTTGTCAAAATAATTGTTTAATTCACTACTGTTTTCTAAGGTATTGCCACGTACGAAAAGCTTGATGCGTCAATTAAAGATTTAATAGGAAATTGCATGAATGCATTTTTGATATTGCTTAATTTTCTGGGTGTAGGGAATCGCCTATTCCATAAATTCTTGTAACACTTGCATAACTTCACACAAATATACATCCACAATGCTTTGTAATATCAATACAATATTTATTTTTGTATTTTCTGACAATTAAAGTACACTTTGTTACACAGATTAACTTTTGGCCTGTCCTTGGAAAATAAGTTATTTTAGAGAAAGTAATGAACAATATGGTTGAAAGTAACTGGCTTGAGTGGCTGCGTTAAATGCTGGAACTTAGTTATTTGAAGATAAAAGTTATATTTAGTAATGGTAAGAGCTAGGAATATTAAGCATACTTCAGCATAAAAACATCCTCTAACCTTTCAAGATAAGTATCTGTAAGTATTATAGGTGAGCAACATTGCGATAATGCAATGTGATTGTTACGTCTTTATGACATATATGGCCCTAAGTAACTTGGAATTTGTTTAGTTACAGCTTGAAGTATGCATATTGAATTTCAGCCCATTTTGTAAAGGTAAACACAGAATATTAACTACCTCTATTGGGGTTTCACGTGATGAAATATACAACTCGGTTAGCCTCTCGCCTGTGTTTAACAAGTAACGTATTCAGTATTTTCTTTTGATTATAAGATATGACTGTGTATGAGTCAAGACTGCTTTCTTGTATGAAGCACTTGTAAGAAACCCGTGTTGAAAATGCGGTTTTCGTAGATATACCGATAACCTTCAGGTTAGAATAGTAGCCACATTAACTGGAGTTACGGCTGAAAATGAACTGCGAGTTTAAATTGAGTTTCTGACTCGACTGATTAAATCTCAGATTGTAGTGGTTCCGCTCGAGTTGCACATAGATGTCAGTTCTGTGATTGCAAGCTTCCCTGTAACCTGTGATGGGGCATATCAACGGTGAGATGAATTCTTTGCCTTCTGTTTGGAAGGGACTACTGATGGTGGTGGTATTGACTGCATTAGTTAAGCTCTACAACATCACCCAGTGTTGTGGTGGCCATCTGTGGGAGTTAAGGCATAATTGGTGTTTACGTTACATTGGGATTTCCTCACATTACATGGTTAGTCAATTGGCAGCTTCCAAGAGACAACTTTGGACAGTGGATGTTCATAGATTGGTTCCTCTTTATCCACCAAGAAGTTTAGGTTTGCTCCAGAAGTCTTTTAGACTGCAAAGTAGTCATCCACATTGCTAAAACCACTGAAAAGATAGTTCCATTTCGTGTTAACAGAGAGAGAGAGTAAGTGCAAGTCAGGCATCAATATAATGTGAGAGAAACTCGTGGCAAGTCCAGTTGTAAAACAAGATAGCGAATAGCGATAATGGCTAATAATTTAACATTATGTAGCAAAATTTAGGATTGGAATTGCTTTTTTATAATTCAGTAATTCAACGAGTAGTGTAAGCTGTGATTTTTAAATTGTATCTATAGTCTGCTATAAAAACCGATTTTAGACATCAAACGCTTCAGTGAGCCGTTACCTCGCACCAACCTCAGCTAATATATTTAGTCACGTGAGAGTCTTCCTTCATTGTTTGTTTGTTATAATAAAACAGAGCCCAGGTACAATGGAGAAGGATGGGGGTAAAATTATAAGTGCTGATTCCTACACGTTAACAACCACAACAAGCATCAACGTTTATCTTTTCTTCATGTGAATCCACTAACACAAGCATCTTACAAGTGTAGTACAATTTGAAGCAGCTAAAATCGAAACCACACAGATGTCACTTACCACTTTTAAGCTATACAATTACAGTGGATATTAGCGTGCATTCCACGTGCAACTTGTACCAGAAGGAGAAATATTGAAAAATACTGTGTAAAACTGCATGCTTCTGAAATATTTAAGTCTACAGGATTGAACAAAAAACATCAAAAACAATTAAAAGAGTGGGTACATTAAGCATTATTTCGGTATTAACAAAATCTACTATTAGTGTGCTTCATTAAGCTTTATTTTTGTATTAACAAAAGCTGCGATTAGTGTGTTTCATTAAGCATTATTTTGGTATTAACAAAATCTATTATTAGTGTGCTTCATTAAGCTTTATTTTTGTATTAACAAAAGCTGCGATTAGTGTGTTTCATTAAGCATTATTTTGGTATTAACAAAATCTACTATTAGTGTGCTTCATTAAGCATTATTTTGGTATTAACAAAAGCTGCTATTAGTGTGCTTCATTAAGCTTTATTTTGGTATTGACAAAAGCTGCTATTAGTGTGCTTCATTAAGCTTTATTTTTGTATTAACAAAAGCTGCGATTAGTGTACTTCATTAAGTTTTATTTTTGTATTAACAAAAGCTGCGATTAGTGTGTTTCATTAAGCATTACTTTGGTATTAACAAAAGCTGCTATTAGTGTGCTTCATTAAGCTTTATTTTGGTATTGACAAAAGCTGCTATTAGTGTGCTTCATTAAGCTTTATTTCGGTATTAACAAAATCTACTATTAGTGTGCTTCATTAAGCATTATTTTGGTATTGACAAAATCTACTATTAGTGTGCTTCATTAAGCTTTATTTTGTTATTAACAAAAGCTGCTGTTAGTGTGCTTCACCTTCTACAGCTGCTTTAATTGCTTTTGAATATTTCAGTTCGGTCCAATTGAACATATTCCTCATTAACTTAGATATATGGGATACACTATATAACCTTTGAGTTTAGAAATTTTTACCACCATAAAGAAATACCTTTTTCTCTTCAGACTTCTTAAAGTGCACCAGTTTAAAATTAGACAGGTAATTAAGTACCAAAACTTCCTTTTGTTTTTTTATTGTGTGTCTGAAAATAAACCAGGCAGTGGGAAAGTTGTTTATGTATAGATCGGCAGTGAAACAGTTAATGTACTAGAAGCTTTATTTTTATTCATCTCTTGCTTGACAGTTGTGTATTCAATGTATTTTATTAATGCATGTGAAGCATAATCAATGAGCAACTTAGTATGTTTTGTC